ACGGGATCCTTGGGAAATTTAAATATCTTTATGTAAAATACACCATTGTGTAATACACTCTCAGGATCAGTATGACCAGTGATTTTATTGATCTGTAAGAAGTTTATCATCAGGATGAACTTAAATTGAGGCAATGGATAAGAAAGTGGTTTCATAATATTTGCTTCTCTATTCATTTTCATTCCTTATGACCCAAGCAATCCCAATGTCATCTCATCTTGCATCCATCAAAGAGAAACTAATACAAATGGAAAATGAAGCACTACCATAAAATATTCCAGAGGAAGGTAGATATAATCTTCCCTAATAACCACCTTTGTTACAATGCCTATTTTTACAATAGATTTGATTTTATTACTAAACACAAAAAATAACTTTTGGTGTCTTTTCAATTCTTCTTGGATCTATTTAGGATAAGAGTCCTTCACTCTCATTTCACCAAGTCTGAATGGGTTGGAAAGGTTAGCCTGTTGCATTTTATTTTCTTTAGAGTTAGACCACACATCTTTTACACTTTCTCCTGGCTCACCAGAAAAGAGGCTTTCCCGAGAGTTATTTAAAGGAGAATCTGTCCAGACAAGATTAGAGTCATGCTGTTACGGGGAGAAAATGTGTAACCCATTGTGGCATCTGTTATGGACAGGCTATTTTGTTTCATTTTCTTAAAACTTCTTCAAAATAAGTGGAGAGTCTGGATGATGGCATGACTCTTCAAAGCCGTCATGGCACAGGGTAAAAATAGCACTGCCGACTGGCTTATCGTTACAGCCTCATTAATTCTTGGCTTATTGCAGTAGTCTGGGTGTTTGATCCATGTTCCCATCTAGTTCTTGGGGAGAAAGAGTGGTGATGACTGCTTTCTATTTTAGGTTTCTCTTCTGTGAAATAACTGATCACAAATCAAGGCCAGCACTTATTAAACTTTTGATATACGAGTATATCTAAGATCTTAAAAATATTGGGTACTGCAGAATGCTAGAGATAAAACTTGGAGAGTTGGTGCACACACACACACACACACACACACACACGTTATGATAATCATCAAATTGATGGGAACATATGGCAGTGGGTGACCTCTGAAAGCTCCAGGGTACACTGTGAAAGAATGAAGGCGAAGAAAGGAAAATCCCGGCTCATGGTTTTTATAGACATATGTTTGACTTTGCACAGCCCCCTGCAATTTGTATCTTTTGAAGCATTGTAAATTAAAGGCAGTCTAGTTATCTTACTGACAGTCATTTATGACCAAATGGCAACCCACTCCAGTATTCTTGCCTGGAAAATCCCATGGACAGAGGAGCCTGGCAGGCTACTGTCCAAAAATTAGTCAGAAAAGTAGAGAGGAACTTTTGAACAGTGCTTGTTAAACTTCAATGAGAAAATAAAACAAAACAAAACAAACAAACAAACAAAAAACCTCAGAGATACATAGAAATGATTTTTATAGCTCCCAGATCTCATCAGAATCTTGATCCATTAGTGTTCATGAAATGTCCACTTAGAAAGAGTCGAACATGACTTAGCGATTAAACTACCACCACTTTACTGTTGGTTTAGCGGATGCTGTTAACTACTCAGCTCGCTAATATATAGGTGACCTGTCTAGAAAACAGCTCTTGATATGAATGCACTGCTTAAAGGGTGTGTTTGCTGGGAATCACTTAAATCTTACTCATCTCAAGTGATGATCCAGTCAGCTTACAAGCAGGTTGGCAGCCGTTCCTCCTCAAGAAGGACATGTCATGAACACTAACAGATGAAGATGCTGATGAGATCTGGGAGCTACAAAAGTCATTTCTATGTGTCTCTGAGGGTTTTTTTGTTTTGTTTTGTTTTGTTTCTTAATTGAAGCTTAACAAGTACTGATCAAAAGTTCCTCTCTACTTTTCTGACTAATTGTTGCATCTGCATAGCTTTTTGGGGTGCATATACTAATTCAAGAAAGCAGAAGATGGAGCCTGACATTCTCAGAGATCTGGGGAAAAGTTTCTGTTATGCATTTGCTGAGACAATTGGATGTTTCCACAAAGTACCACTTAAAATTCCAATTTGGTTTTGACCAAGAATTTAAAAAGTCTACATTGAATATTTAAAGAGAATGACTTTGCCTCCCACAATATTTAATTTAGAACCATTCATTAAGACTACTGCAATGCAGAAAATTGTATTTTAAAGTTTTTAATCCCAAAATAGCCCAATAGTGTTTATTTCCATGAACACTTTCCTCATTACATAAAAGTATGCTGATCTCTAATCATAGGTATATTTAATAAAATTGGTTATTGTCTATATTTTAGTTATTATCATTAACTAGTTTCTCCTTCTGGTATAAGCAGCTACTGGTTAACAGGATAACCTATGAATAAAGGATATTATTACCCTGTCTAGCAAGCAAAATATTTGTATTTATTCACTTATCACCAAGAAGATTTTCAAACTATTGCCAGTGCAAACAATTTCTCTCTCACTATTTCAGCAATTAAAACTAGTGTATTCACATTTAATATTTATTCTTAATCTCCAAATTACTATTAACTGTTTTTTTCTGGCTTTTTCTAAAAAGTTCTTTTTTATATGTTTGAGTTTTTTAAAGATATGTTTATTTTGCTCCAATAATATCCTTCCATCCCTCTTCCCCCTTATGTATTTATTATATACCAACTATATAGCAAGTATTATATTAATCACTTACCTGAAGGAATTATGCTTAGGTATAATTTCCCTTATTTTATGTATAAGGAAACTAAAACTTTAAAATGTTCATTAATTCATTGTGATGACATGACCAGAAAATGTAAAGGCCAAGATTTTATTCTATTCCCCTGGATAGCTCCTTTTATAAGATTTCTGACAAAAGTTTAGCTCTGCTTATGTATAATGTTGATCATGAGGATGATATATATTTTCATCAAATTGTAAAAGAAATATCTTCTACCAAGTACTAAACAATAGCCCATCCTATTAAACCCTACTGAGTATTGCAGTTAGTAGATTGTGATGTCATAGTCCTCTTCCATATTTATTTCTATACTTTGCTGGAGATTTTAGTTTTCTTCTTTGCATTTCTGGCTTGGTGTTTGGTACAGAGAATACATCTACACATATTGCCACTAATGTGTATCTTCCTCACTCATGAAGAAGATGAGAAAAAAATGAACAGTGCTAGCAAGCTGGGATAGTCCTCTATTCCGGCTGATTGGAGACGAAAATATTAGTTGGTTTAATCGCAGCATTTATGTACATGTATGTTACAAGTGTACCACAAAGGTGAGGATCATATGTGTAAAGTGTTACTTTCTTCTATTATAGGAAGTCCTTGTAATGCTCATAAGCCTGCTATTATTTATACTCATTCCAGTATCACCTTAATTTTTGAAGCAACATAATTTATTTCACAGTCTTTTCTTAATATTACCATCGGCATTCACCACAGTCTGTAGTTTTGGTTAACAGGATATAATCTTGTAGAAACAGAATTCATATTCCGTGATGAGCTATATCCCAGGTGTATATATCTAGATGTTTATGTCTATCTATGAATTACTTCTTTACACTATATTCTGTGACTTTCTGAACATTTGTAAAAACCGTCAATACTTACCTCAGCTAACATTTTGACTCAAAAATGATGACATGACTATGGAAGGTTCAAGTCTCAATGGAATGCTAATCAAATGTCATGAGCTGTCAAAATGAAATAATTCATTTAGCTTAGGGATGGATGCCAACAAATTTGCTGAAATGGATTATAACCTTTTGATGATATTTGCTATAGCACAAATGGCTTCCCTGGTGGCTCAGTTGATAAAAAGTCCAGCCACGATGTGGGAGACTTGGGTTCAATCCCTGGGTCGGAAATATCCCCTGGAGAAGGAAATGGCAACCCACTCCAGTACTCTTGCCTGGAGAATTCCATGGACAGAGGAGCCTGGTGGGCTACAGTCCATGGGGTCACAGAGTCCAACTTGACTAAGTGACTAGCTTTCAAAGTACAAAGGGTCTTACTTATTGCCACTTTTGCATTTTTAAATTATGTCCAAAAATGGAAGAATATGAGATTGAACCACTGAAGAGGAGTTGTAGAAAACAGAAGAATATTTTAGGGGTGAATCAAGGAGAAGCAAGGAATCCACAGCAAAATAAGACAGTTACTGAGTTTAGAGAAAGCAGTGAGCTGCACAGAAAGAAGCATCATGGTGTGTGGTGCAGAGTGTGGATCCTTCCGCACAGTGATACCAGGAACCCTGACCCTCGCACAAGTCTCCGTGTGCAGCGTGTACTGGGGGCATCAGCGGGCAGAGGAAAAGAGTATGTGTGTGCACATGCCTGTGTGTGATGCTGTGGCCTGAAGGGGTGAAAACAGCATTTTCATGGTGGGGAGCTGACGCCTCAAGTGGAGAAACCAGGACTAGTCACCCACTGACTAAGGTCTTTGAAAATCTGGGGACAGACACTAAAAGAAGCAGCTTAGAGAGGAAGTGCCTTGCCTCTGAGGCTGGAAAACAGAGAGGATTGTGGAAGGAGTTTTTTTTTTTTTAATTTAAAATCTATAAAGCTATTTAGTGTTAAACTCTGTACCATGCCTAACTCAGATCAAGATTAAATCTTTCTACGTAGGCTTTTGTTCCTGAAACACTCTTTTTTCCTCCTCAAAGACTGAGCCTCCTGCTTAAATGATCCAGTGTCCATTTAGTAGGGTCTGCCCAGAGTATTTCTTGGGGGTCTCATCCCCACATAAGCAGAAATGACTTCAGCATCTGAGGCCATGTCTGCAGGCAGCTAGCTCTGCTCCAGACCACCAGACTCAGAAGGCTCATCTGCCAGGGCTTGGGGGTGTCTTTGGGGAATCACCACAGGGAGTGCCCACGAGCCATGAGGCATCACAAACCATCCCAAGAGTGTTGAAAGTGCCACTTGTTCAGGAAACATCCCATTCTAACCCAATGCTTCCTCACAGCTGTGGCATCTCTGGGCCCACAAATCTTTGTAGGATAGGTCAGAATTTAATTGTTCAGGTTTTGGAGCTCAGTTGCCTTCATTCAAGTCCTGTTTCTCCTGCTTCCTAAAGTGCCTCACTTTCTTTACCTGTAAAATGGGAAGAATAAAAAAAAAAATCCCTCTTATAAAATGATAGTGAGGGTTGAATGGCATGATACCCATAAAGACTTAGTAGCTGGCACAGTAAATGTTTAGAATATCTTAACATAATTACTGTCAGTAAAAGTTACAGACGTTTCTGCTACTCAGACTATTTATGATAGTCAGTGTGGTGTGGGAAAGTGGACATTTGAAATACTTCTGTGGGGAGCAGGGAAGAGTCGACTAGAAAAAATGGAGTTTCTGGGGGGAGAGAAGGCTGCAGTTGAGGTTATGTTTATAACTTTTTTCCCAACAGTGCTAGGAAAACTGTCATTTCAGAAATGGTGGTTGCTTGTATATCAAGGTTGCAGATTTTCGCCAGGTGATTAAAGCTGAAAGAAAAAGAAGGGAGTTGTGAGTACTAGTGGGATGGAAAGAAGCCTAGAACACAAAATCTGGGGAAGTTCAGGAAGGTCCCAAGGCCAGCGGGGCTGACTCGAGGAATTTCCCTTTAGGGTGTGTGTTGGAATCCGGCCCAGTGGGCCAGCCACCCAGCCTCACCAGGACCTCTAAAGATTCTCCAGTGCTGTGTGACAGCCTGAAAGATGAATCAGGAAAACATGCTTCTGGGGGGACCAGGTAATTGGGTCTGTTCACAGTAACGGGCCTCACTAAGTGTTGTACCTGAAAGTTTAGTCACTGTCTTGAATTCCAATTTCCAAAGCCAGATTATGCACAAATCTTTATTCCTATGGGCTTCCCTGGTGGCTCATAGGGTAAAGCATGTGGGAGACCCAGGTTCGATCCCTGGGTAGGGAAGATCCCCTGGAGAAGGGAGTGGCAACCCACTCCAGGATTTTTGCCTGGAGAATCCCATGGACAGAGGAGCCTGGTGATCTACAGTCCACGGGGTTGCAAAGAGTCAGGCACGACTGAGTGACTTCTCTTTTTTTTTCCTTCTTTATTCCTGTAGTTTCTAATGTGTGTGCACATGCAAGTCAGCTGGTAAAAACACTGGTTGAAGATTTCACCTCCAGAAGTTTCTTCCAGGAGGTCTGGGAAGGGGGCCCAGGAATTGGCAGTGCTAACAACATCATCCCTGCATCATCTGCCTGCAGTGCAGAGACCCAGGTTCGTTTCCTGGGTTGGAAAGATCCACTAGAGAAGGGAATGGCAACCCACTCCAGTGTTCTTGCCTGGAGAATCCCATGCACAGAGGAGCCTGGCGGGCTACAGACCATGGGGTCACAAGGGTCAGACATGACTGAGTTAGTAAACCCTCACCACCACTACATCATCACAGGTGGTGTCAAGCTGTGGTTCCTGGGTTCTCACTTGGAGAACAAGTACCTTGTGACTTTCTTGGGCGGGCATCTCCTCCGGTCAGGTCACCTTGCAGAATCCAGATGTTAAAGGCAGGGCGGTACTGGGCATTTCTACAAGAAAGGGCAGGACATTTGTTTGCTTGTAGATTGCTTTCTCAGAGGGAAAGGAGCAGCCTCCAGGAAAAGGAGGTATGTGATTGATGATAAACACATACTGAAAATCTAATAACAGGAAGGAGAAAAGCAAAATAGAAGACATCTCAGAGGACCAGTACTGCCTGCACTGATGGATGAGGGCAGAAGCAGGGGTCTCTGTGCTATACCTGGGAGGGGCTGCCTCCAGCGCTGCCATCATCCCGGGGTCCACATCACCCCTCCAGGGGGTGGATCAGGGTTCCCCGGGGAGGGCTGCCCAGCAGGTATGCCGAGGAACCCATGCGCTCTTCGCTGGGGATCCAGCATCTCCTGGGTGATGGGAACGGTGTCCTTGAGGGCTGGCGCCCAACCAGGGGAGTGCACCAGGGTCTAGATCCAGACGTGGGCATTTCCCAAGGGCCTCGGGGAGGCTGATGGTTCTGTATCTGAGATGCAGTCGGGGTCCTCCTGAGTCTCTTCATGCAGGGAAGCCACAGTGATCGTCTGCAGCAGGTTGCACTGCCCCATGTCTTCGTGCCCCGTTCCACTTCCAGTATGGAAAAACACTCTTTTTCCATATGAAGATGGACTTGTTTGTTTTGAGTCTGGCTGAAGAGAGGATGTGTGTGAAATCATAATTTCTAGAATTGATGAAACCGTCACTTTGCAGACAAGGCGCCCTGTCTGTGACCCCTTGGCACCAGGCTGCCCGCGCTGGGGGCTCCGAGGCCCCGGCCAGCACCGCGGGGCTTCCTGTGACCCCCCCTGCAGGCTTGCTTACTGCAGCGTCTGTCACTCAGCATCTTGCAGGAAATGCCTTCCATTCCATTTCCTTTAATTGTCCCTGTATGTGAATGAGTGTGTGTGTGTGTGTGTTGTCTGTTTCACTCTGTGATGCTATGGAGAATAAAACTGTCCGAAGAACCAATAATATTTTCATCATCATCATTATTATTAATAAATCAAGAAATTCTCTTTAATGCTTTTCTTCAGGGTTCACATGCCCTCTAGGTAGGTATAAATGCCCGAGATGCAGTATAGTTTTTCATTTGAACTTAATTTTCTATTTTATCTCATCTCTTTGCCTTTACATGTTCAACATTCAGTTCAGTTCAATCACTCGGGCCTGTACGACTCTTGTGACCCCATGAACTGTAGCACCGAGGCATCACCAACTCCTGGAGTTTACACAAACTGATGTCCATCAAGTTGGTGATGCGATCCAACCATCTCATCCTCTGTCATCCTCTTCTCCTCCCACCTTCGATCTTTCCCAGCATCACGGTCTTTTCAAATAAGTCAGTTCTTCACATCAAGTGCCCAAAGTATTGGCGTTTCAGCTTCAGCATCAGTCCTTCCAATGAATAGTCAGGCCTGATTTCCTTTAGGATGGATCTCCTTGCAGTCCATGAGACTCTCAAGAGTCTTCTTCAATACCACAGTTCAAAGTCATCAGTTCTTCAGTGCTCAGCCTTCTTTATAGTCCAAATATCACATCCATACATGACTAGTGGAAAAACCATAACTTTAACTAGATGGACCTTTGTTGGCAAAGTAATGTCTCTGCTTTTTAATATGCTGTCTAGGTTGGTCATTAACTTCTCTCCCAAGGAGCAAGTGTCTTTTAATTTCCTGGCTACAGTCACCATCTGCAGGGATTTTGGACCCCCAAAAAATAAAGTCTGCCACTGTTTCCACTGTTTTCCCACCTATTTGCCATGAAGTGATGGGACTGAATGCCATGATCTTAGTTTTCTGAATGTTGAGTTTTAAGACAACTTTTTCACGCTCTTTCACTTTCATCAAGTGGCTCCTTAGTTCTTCTTCACTTTCTGCCATAAGATTGGTGTCATCTGCATATCTGAGGTTATTGATATTTCTCCCAGAAATCTTGCATACAGCTTCTGCTTCATCTAACCCAGCATTTCTCATAATGTGCTCTGAATATTAGTTGAATAAGCAGGGTGACAATATACAGCCTTGATGTACTCGTTTCCCAATTTGGAACCAGTCTGTTGTTCCATGTTCAGTTCTAGCTGTTGTTTCTTGACTTGCATACAGATTTCTCAGGAGGCAGGTCAGGTGGTCTGGTATTCCCATCTCTTTAAGAATGTTCCAGTTTTTTGTGATCTACACAGTCAAAGGCTTTGGCATAGTCAATAAAGCAGAAGTAAATGNTATTCCCATCTCTTTAAGAATGTTCCAGTTTTTTGTGATCTACACAGTCAAAGGCTTTGGCATAGTCAATAAAGCAGAAGTAAATGTTTTTCTGGAAATGTCTTGCTTTTTCAATGATCCAACGGATCATCAGCTTCATGCTGAAGCTGATCTCTGGTTCCTCTGACTTTTCTTTTCTTTTTTTTTTTTCATTTTTTCATTTATTTTTATTAGTTGGAGGCTAATTACTTTACAATATTGTAGCGGTTTTTGTCATACATTGACATGAATCAGCCATGGATTTACAAATATTCCCCATCCTGATGCCCCCACCTCCCTCTCCACCCGATTCTTCTGGGTCTTCCCAGTGCACCAGGCCCAGGCACTTGTCTCATGCATCCAGCCTGGGCTGGTGATCTGTTTCACCCTAGATAATATACATGTTTCGATGCTGTTCTCTCAAAACATCCCACCCTCGCCTTTTCCCACAGAGTCCAAAATTCTGTTCTGTACAGCTGTGTCCTCTGACTTTTCTAAATCCAACTTGAACATCTTGAAGTTCATGGTTCACGTACTTTTGAAGCCTGGCTTGGAGAATTTTGAGCATTACTTTGCTAGCTTGTGAGATGAGTGTAATTGTGCTGTAGTTTGAACAGGTTTTTTTTTTTTTTCCAGCTTTAGTACATCCATAGAGAATATAACATAAAGATGGTAAATTCTAATGGGCAATAATATTACTTTCTCAAATAAAACAAAGCAATATGAATTAAACTTGTATTTTTAAACTTTAAAAGTATTGCATATTTGCATTTCAATAATAATCAAAAAGGAAAAAAAGGAAAAAAGATATCCCCCACCTCCTAAGACAAACAGCACTCACTTATCCCCAGTGATATTTTTGAATCTTAAAGATGAAGTCTATTCAGAGAGACATATAAGTCTAGTGAAATATGTAGCACAGCTTGGTAAAAGTCCTGTCGTTTCTTTCTTGTTCATTTTTCTCTTTGAATCTGAATCTTGCTGAGGCTGTTATGTAGAAACATCTACTCTAGGTACCACATAGAAATCGTGTCTGGTGAGATGCTTTACACTGTATTTCTGTGGTTTACTTGAAACTCATCTCTAAGGAAAGCTTTCTTTTTTTAACTGAAGTGTGGTTGATTCACAATGTTGTGTTAGTTTCAGGTATACAGATGTGTCTCATTTTTTTTCAATTATATATAATATATACATACATATATTGTTTTTCAGATTTGTTTCCCATTGGTGATTGAAAAATATTGAGCATACTTCCATGTGCAACCGAGTAGGTCCTTGTCTATTGTCTGTTTTACGTATACTAGTATGTATCTGTTAATCCTAAACTCTTAATTTATCCCTCCCCCCACTTTCCCCTTTGGTGACCGTAAGTTTGTTTTCTATCTGTGAGTCTATTTTTCATTTGTAAATAAGTTCATTTCTATCTTGTTTTTAGATACCACATGTAAGTGATATTATATGGTATTTATCTTTCTCTGTCTGACTTACTTCACTTAATATGATAATCTCTAGGCACATTCATGTTGCTGCAAATGGCAGCCTTTTATTCTTTTTCATGGCCAAATAGTATTCCATTGTAGAGATGTACTACTTCTTCTTTATCAATTTGTCTGTTGATGGACACTTAGATTGCTTCCATGTCTTGGCTATTGTGAATAGTGCTGCTATGAGTACTGGGGTGCATGTATCTTTTCATGTTAGTTTTCTCTAGGATATATATGTGCAGCAAAGTAAGAGGAATGTGTCAGGCAGGAGGCTGCCTTAGGGTTCTTTCTCCTCCTTTCTATTTTGTGAACTGATAGACCATGTTTCTGCTTTGCAATCCCAGCATCTTCAGTGCATCAGTCCCATTAATAAGTGAGCACAGATAAAACCTATCTCTGTTGGGGGTTTTGCAGCACTCATAACTCAGAGGCAGTTATTACTCTTTGCTGATTGTAACACTAAAGGTCTACCCACTGTATGGTTTGTGTAATGTGAGAATTTAATATATACCTGTGTCCTTAGTAGGGTTTACAGTCATTTGTTTCTTTAGAAGTTGCTTTTCTTTAGTTGAACCATGTTTCTTGTCTCTGTGAACCCTGTTACAGAAAGTGAAAGTGTAGTTGTTCAGTTGTGTCTGACTTTGTGACCTCATGGACTGTAGCCCACCAGTCTCCTCTGTCCATGGAGTTCTCCAGGCAAGAATACTGGAGTGGGCTGTCATTTCCTTCTCTAGAGTGTCTTCCAGATCCAGGGATCAAACCCAGACCTCCCTCAGTGCAGGCAGATTCTTCACTGAGTCACCAGGGAAGCTCCTCATATGCTGGAGTGGGTAGCCATTTCCTTCTCCATGGGATCTTCCTCACCCTGTTACAGAGGTGGGAGAAATTAAACCATGTGGCCATCTGATGGCAGAAAGCAGTGTTCAGTCATAGCATCCGGAAGGTCCCGTGTTTCTGGGAAAGTGGCTTCTGGAAAGGTTCCTGGATGTCCTCATGGAACCTGCCTGGCTGCAGCCCCCAGACCTCCCTGTTCATGTATCACTGGGGCAGATCTGGGGCTACGAGGCTCGTTAGCCTGTGCAATACAGGGGACCCTAGATTCTGTCAAACATGCTGTGTCATCAGAGTCGTTGGACAGAGAGAGACACTGGAGCCTGGTTGGTGACTCCTGATTCTGGTTTAGACAGTTTACTTCCTCTGTCTGTGTCTTGGTTTCTTCATTTTTATATCAAAGCCATTTCTCACTGCTTTTTTGGGTGGTGGTGAGCATTCTTGAAGATTACTAAGGTGCACAGGTTGGGGGATAGCATGAATTACAAACAGCAATTCCTTCCTCCTCTTGGCTAGAAAATGCCCTAGAACTTGAAATGGAAGTTGCCTCATGAAGAGTAAATCCTTAGGCAACTAGAAGAAGTCAAACCAACACAGTTCTCCTGCTAAATAGCTGAGACAGAATCAGACAAGATATTAAAAAGTCACCATGACTTTAATCAAGTCTGTATTTCAGAAAAATGACTGAATTAGCAAAATGCTATGACAGGCTTTCCTGATATCCTATATTACAAAATATTATGTCTACATCTATTACTTATTAATCTGTTTTTACAAAATTATTGAACAGGAACATTTACAGCCCCAGAAAAGTGAAGCAACACATTTTAGGTGTTCTGTAGCTCAGCTGGTAAAGAATCCACCTGGAATGTAAGAGACCCTGGTTTGACTCCTGGATCAGGAAGATGCCTTAGAGAAGGGTAAGGCTGCCCACTCCAGTATTCTTGCCTGGAGAATTCTATTGACACAGGAGCCTAGCAAGCTACAGTCCATGGGATCCCAAAGAAACACGACTGAGCAACTTTTACTTTGTTTCACTTTAATAATTAAAAGTCATTTTAACATATATATATATATATATATATATATATTTTCAAATACATACAGTGGTAGGGATCGTTCTTCCCACTATGCCATCAATACTTGCCCTTTTTCACCTACATATATATATATATATATATATATATATATATATATATATACACACACACACACACACACTATTAAATGACCTTTCAAAGTCAATAGTTCTTTAATATAAAGCTGGGTAGTGTGAGTCATAATTTTGCAGTTAAAAGGCTAGGTAGCGGTTTAAATCCCTTGTGAAACAAGGGTAAAAATTCAGAGAAACTGAAAGGTTTTTATTTTCCTCAAAGCTAACATTAATTTTTATTCAAAAATTAAATTAAAATAGAAAGTGACTATACACTATAGTTTTATCATCATATGTTTATTCAACTTGATAACTGCCTTACCCTTGCTGTCATTTAATGCTAGACTGAAACGTGTCAAAAACAAAACCACTCCTACTTTTTAAGTAGAAAGTCTTGGCTTGATTCTCTCAGAATTTCCACTTCTATTACCCCCACCCCGCCTCCCCCATTTTTTTCAAAACTAGATATTTATGCATATGATTTAGTTCTATTTTAAAAAAGGATAAAAGATGGATTCCACTTTAGATGCTTCCTTCATTTCTATTAGCAAATCTGTCAAGATTCTAATTACTTGTCATATACTGAGAACTACCAGAGTCACGAGAACCAAATATAGTCCAGGAAGCCTTGGACCCTTGAGCGGCATGCTGGGTGTGCAAACTTGTCATTAAAAGCACATCGGTACGCAGACCCCAGTAAGGAATTGAGGCTCTGCTGTGTGCCTGGGATGTTAAACTAGTGCCTTGAAGAAATAAACTGGCGAGAACGTTCTCACATTTCATGTGTACTTTGCCCATGACAGCTCATGAAAATGAGCTGTGCGATATTACTGCGCACATTTCCGGGCAAACAAACACGGAAGGCCTCCATGAAACCATGACTGTTTCACGCTTCACGCCCACCAGCACCAGCGTCCTCTGTGGTCTGAGGCGAGTTTGAAAACAACTGGCTTCCCTTTACTTCCTCTGCCGGGTGTGAGGGGTCAAAGGGCAGGGGTGAGACCTAAAGCGGAAGAGCAAAGAGATCAACAGCTGGGCAGACAGGGCCAGCGTTTTTGCAGTAGTCGAATGGATGGTATTTCGTACTTTGATGTTAAGTATTTAAATACTTATTTAAAAAACTAATCATGGCAGTTGAAATAGCAGAAGTATATAGAATAAAAGTGAAAGCCTTCCTTTATTTTAAACCTCTCCACACGTTGCCAGTGTTTTTGTGGGTCTTCCAAGACATTTTCTACACACAAACATACCCAAATATGTGGGGTTTTGTTTTTTTTTTAATTGCAAGCTGCATTATAGGATGTTGTATTAGTCAGTCCAAGTAGCTATAAGAAAGTATCAGAGACTGGAGTCCCAAACAACAGACCTATGTTTTCTCACATTTCCAAAGGCTGAGGCGGGGGGCGTCCAGGGTCAGAGTGCCAGCGTCACTGGTTCCTCGTGAGGCCAGAAACCGGTGTGTGGGCAGTCACCTTCTAGCCATGCTTCAGTCTCCTAATCTGTGGCGTTTTGTTGTAGCAGCGGAAATAGACTAAAGCTGGTGTCACGAACACAGACTCTGTTTGGCACCCAGACATGTGAGAGCGTCAGCGTTTCAACACCCCTGTCCTCTGAATGGAAGTTCTTTCTGAAAACTAATCATCACCATCATTTACGGTGACTACTGGTAGCTGTCATGATCCCCAAGTATTGTAATAGGCTGCCAAGAGAGTTGGTCGGAGGACAATGATTTATAACTCATCCGGTGCATCATTTATTAAGATTCTCATAACCCTGGAATTACAGCGCACTGCCCCTGCTTTCATTTACTTTGTGGCAAACACGTTCAGCTGGCAAGCTCTTTATCCGGGCTCCTGGTGCTCTGAAGGATAAGGAAGCCCAGCTGTCCTAGGAAGACAGCGATGCATCAGGGGGAGCGTCACTTTCAGCTGGGCAGGTGTGAGTGCCTCCGGGTCTTAGAAGAGAAAGGAAACTCGATAGAGACCTCCCAGAGACTGAAGGGACCTTCCAGAGCCCCCTGAAGCAGTTTGAATGAATGGTAGTTGGAGAAGGAGGGAGAATTTCTGTCTGTTGTCCTCAGCTTGGAGTGAACAGACTTGCTTTCATTTTGCTTTATGCCTTTGTGATATATTTCAATTTTATTTAATTGCTCTTGTTTGAATGGGGTCGGCATCAATAAACTATGTTCAAGCGACATCTTTTTTCCCCTCGAATTAAACTCTTTCTTTAGTCACCAGAATCTCCTATTAACTTTTTTTTTTAAACCAATTTGTACTAGAAACAATCTAATGAAGAAACAAAGCAAACAGTAACATCAGCCAGTGAAATCTTTCTTTCCAGAATCATTAACCTGTAGAAACTAAACCAAAGCCAAGCAAAGGTGTTAGAGGATACTTTGACACAGTTTTGTCCTTTATGTCCTTGCAGTCATATTTGTAAAAGTGGGGGTAGAAGTATACTCGATTCCTACCAGATTGCTCCAGGGTGCAAGGTTTGTTCAGGACAGAGTGCTCCGTTTTGCCTTGATGCTCTGGGATGGTCCTTTAGTGAACCTGTAGCATCCTAGCCAAGAATGCTGAGTCCCTCATCAACTGAGTGTTTTTGGAAGTATCACCCTGCATGACATCTTTCTGACGTAAAGAAGTAACTAGCACATCAGTACTCTCTAATAAATACTTCTGATGTCTTTGAAAAGGAAAATTAATTTAGAAGCAAGAAATTAAAAAAAAAATAAACAAAATCTTTTTTTTTTTTAAGTTTCCAACTGAATTTATGAAACATGGGGTGATTGAGTGGTGGGGAGAAGTAAGCATGAACCATCTGAACTTTTAGGAAAATGTTGTATAATTTTATATGTGCATTTGTGTTGTAGGAGACGATAGAAAACTTTCATGTAATATTCAAATAATTTTCCGACTAGGAAAAAAAATGTTGAAAAAGTAGACATAAATCAAAAGCATTAAGTTATAAAAGCTGGAGAGAAATGACAGATAGCTGATAGCTGAGATTTCCAACTATATGTGCTAGAGAAATCAGGCTTAAAGAGAAAGTGAGAGCAATGTAAATTTGAATAGTACTGCTGACTGTTACTGCAAGTGAAATGAGTTATCCTCAGATCAAAATGAAAGTTATTTCTATAGGCTGAAATTAGAGGTAGAAAAATTAGTGCACAAGTTTTGTGGAAATGATGGATAAATCAATTAAAATGTGTCTGGTTACCCAATTTATCTTATTCTGTTTTGTCTTATTCTTATTCTCTCTGGATACTGAATTTCATTATTTAGCCAAGTGATCCAGAAGAAAGCACATACTTGCATATTTAGATCTTATTATGCTAAAGTACTTTTTCCAACTCCATCATCCTTGGTGTATTGGAGGAAAATTGTTTCTTTCTGACCATTGGGTAACTTGAAGTTTCAATATAGCATGGATATATTTTGTCTAAACCATTCTACTCAACACAGATCAATTTTATTTAGTCCTTTTTAGAACTTTTCTATAGACAATTGTTTTCTTAGTAGTTCCCACCCCCCCCCCCATCTTTCTGTGATGCATATTGCCTGGAACAGGGTTTTAATATGGTAAAAATGAAGTTTGGTGTTTTTTTTTTT